ATAATACATAAGGGGGGATATGATCTCCATGTATAATATAATATGATCTCCAAAGGGGGGATATGATCTCCATGTATAATACATAAGGGGGGATATGATCTCCATGTATAATACATAAGGGGGGATATGATCTCCATGTATAATACATAAGGGGGGATATGATCTCCATGTATAATACATAAGGGGGGGATATGATCTCCATGTATAATACATAAGGAGGGATATGATCTCCATGTGTAATACATAAGGGGGGATATGATCTCCATGTATAATACATAAGGGGGGATATGATCTCCATGTATAATACGTAAGGGGGGGATATGATCTCCATGTATAATACGTAAGGGGGGATATGATCTCCATGTATAATACATAAGGGGGGATATGATCTCCATGTATAATACATAAGGGGGGATATGATCTCCATGTATAATACATAAGGGGGGATATGATCTCCATGTATAATACGTAAGGGGGGATATGATCTCCATGTATAATACATAAGGGGGGATATGATCTCCATGTATAATACATAAGGGGGGATATGATCTCCATGTATAATACATAAGGGGGATATGATCTCCATGTATAATACATAAGGGGGATATGATCACCATGTATAATACATGAGGGGGGGATATGATCTCCATATATATAATACATGAGGGGGGGATATGATCTCCATATATAATACATAAGGGGGGGATATGATCTCCATATATAATACATAAGGGGGGATATGATCTCCATATATACAGTTGTGGCCAAAATTATTCAACCCCCAATGCTGTAAAGGGGTTTAGGGACTATAGTGTACATTTGGAATTGTATTCAGAATCAAATCCTACAAGGACGTTGTAACTACCCAAATGCAACTAAAATGACATCAATTGTTTATGTAATACAGTAGTAAATGGTTCTTATGTGGTTTCTTCATTGCCACAATTATTCAACCCCTTAAAGACTACCACTCTGAAGAACAGAGGTTCATACAGGTGCTTTCCATCAGGTATTGAAAACACCTGTGGATGTCACCGAGCAGCAATCAAGCATAATAAGCACCAATTAGGCAGCTTTAAAATGACTGTGATACTCAGCTCCTTCTAGACATTTACTGGTGTGGTTACAAACATGGTGAAGGCAAGAGAATGGTCCAGGAAGACAAGAGAAGAGGTGATTTCTCTTCACAGGAAGGGCAATGGCTATAAGAAGATTGCAAAGATGTTAAACATACCAAGAGACACCTTAGGAAGCATCATTCGCAAATTCAAGGCAAAGGGCACTGTTGAAACGCTACCTGGTCGTGGCAGAAAGAAGATGCTGACTTCGACTGCTGTGCGCTACCTGAAGCGTAGAGTGGAGAGAAGTCCCCGTGTGACTGCTGAGGAACTGAGAAAAGATTTGTCAGATGTGGGTACAGAAGTTTCAGCCCAGACAATAAGACGCACACTGCGTAATGAAGGCCTCCGTGCCAGAACTCCCAGGCGTACCCCCTTGCTGTCTCCAAAGAATAAGAAGAGTCGACTGCAGTATGCCAAAAGCCATGTGGACAAACCACAAAAGTTGTGGGATAGTGTTCTGTGGACTGATGAAACAAAATTAGAACTGTTTGGGCCCATGGATCAACGCTATGTTTGGAGGAGGAAGAACAAGGCCTATGATGAAAAGAACACCTTGCCTACTGTGAAGCATGGTGGAGGGTCAATCATGCTTTGGGGCTGTTTTGCTTCTGCAGGTACAGGGGCTTCAGCGTGTGCAAGGTACCATGAATTCTCTTCAGTACCAGGAGATATTGGATGGAAACGTGATGCAGTCCGTCACACACCTGAGGCTTGGGAGACGTTGGACCTTTCAACAGGACAATGATCCCAAGCATACCTCCAAGTCCACTAGAGCATGGTTGCAGAGGAAAGGCTGGAACATTTTGGAGTGGCCATCGCAGTCACCAGACTTAAATCCGATTGAGAACCTCTGGTGGGACTTAAAGAAAGCAGTTGCAGTGCGCAAGCCTAAGAATGTGACTGAACTGGAGGCCTTTGCCCATGAAGAATGGGCGAAGATACCCGTAGATCGCTGCAAGACACTTGTGTCAAGCTATGCTTCACGTTTAAAAGCTGTTATAACTGTAAAAGGATGCTGTACTAAGTACTAAGATTGAATGTCACTTGGGGGTTGAATAAAACTGATAATGCTGTGAGCACAGAAAAGACATTTGTGGTTATTTCATTATAACTGTTATGTTATATTTGTCTGACCTACAAGTGCCTCTTTAATGTAAATGTAAGCAAGATGACTGAATGATCAAAAGCAATGTCAAACTGGCCAAAACACTCAATTTCAGTGGGGGTTGAATAATTTTGGCCACAACTGTAGTACATAAGGGGGGATATGATCTCCATGAATAAATACATCAGTGGTTCATATAGTGAACTCAGTGTAGTTATTCCCCCTGAGGTCATCACAGAGGACAAGGGGGCGCTCTTTACGTCTGGAGGAAAATAAAGTTAATCTCCAAACAGGTTTCTTCACAGTGAGAGCTGTGAGAATGTGGAATAGACTCCCCCAGAGTTGGTTGTGGCCAGCTCAGTGGATTGCTGTAGGAAAGTCCTGGATTCTTTCTTGGATACACAGAATATAACTGGATATAACATTTATAGGGAAAGTTGATCCAGGGAATATCCGATTGCCTCTCGGGGGATCAGGGAGGAATTTTTTTCCCCAACAGGAGCAAATTGGATCGTGCTTTGCTGGGTTGTTTTTTGCCTTCCTCTGGATCAACTGTGGGTGTAGGATTGTAACTTTTTTTTTTTTCAATGGTTGAACTGATTGGACTTTTGTCTTTTTTCAGCCAGACTAACTATGTAACTTTAAAGTTTGAGGTTTGTTCCCCTATACTAGTCTAGTGTGTTCTGCACTGGTTATTTCACAGATAACTATGGAGAACGATTGGTGTGACACCTTGTTAATTGTTTGACAAGCTCACTGGACCAGGAAATTACAGTCATTGCATCAAAGGTAGTAGGTCTGACTTGCAAAGGAGGGTGGAATGCAGCCTGGCCAGTCCGACCCAAAAGAGTGCTTGTTCAAGTGCCGACATAGGCCCTGAGCTGGCACTAGTCCTCTAGAACCTCTCCCTGTTGCTAATGCAGTCCATGACAGACAGATATGCTCTCTCTACACTGGCACATGAAAAACTAGGGGCAGAGACTTAAGGAGATCCAGTTTGACCCAAGATGGCCACCAAGGTCACCTGGATGCAGTATAGCTAACAGGAACGCCGCTCTGGGGAACTGAGGGAATCCTAGAGTAACCAAGTTTCTTGAATTCCCCTTCAACTGCAATACTGCTCCACCTACAGTGGAGAAAAAAGACTGTACCTGCCTACTTACTTGTAGATTGGGCTTACCTCATCCTCCTATGGTGGAGACCTATGGTGAGACACAAATGGCAGTTGTAGACATCTCTAGAACCTCTCCCTGTTGCTACTGCTGTCCATGATAGACAGGTATGGTCTCTCTACACTAGCACATGAAAAGCTAGGGGCAGAGACTTAAAGAGATCCAGTTTGACCCAAGATGGCCAACCAAGGTCACCTGGATGTAGCATAGCCAACAGGAACTGGGGAACTGAGGGAATCCTAGAGAAACCAAGTTTCCCTTGACTTCTCCTCCAGCTGCAGTACTGCTCCACCTACAGTGGAGAAAAAAAAAGACTGTACCTACCTACTTACCTGTAGATTGGGCTCACCTGACCCCCCTATGGTGAAGACCCTTGGTGAGACACAAATGGCGGTCGTTGACATCATAGCAAAAGTCCTTTGAAAAATCTCTCCATAGCAAATGCCGATGCTGCAGCAGAGGACGTAAGGCAGGCCAAGGACGAGCGATAAAAAAACATGAGATCATATGGTGATTCAGAAGCTTCGTTCAGATTCCCAGGAGGGCCGCCATGTTCTCTCTGGGTACGTATTGTCTTTCTCCTACCTCACCGCAGTCCTAATGACCTCTCCTCGTCGAAGGACCCTGCGATTGCCTTTCAGCCCACACCCTTGCTTTCTCCTTCCCAGAAGATCTGTTTTCTCCCATCGCTCCTGCAGACACAAGTGTATCAGGTAAGACAATATTTATTGGGCGCCAGAGGGAGTATAGAGTTTGCTTTGGGCAAGGACTTTCAGATCAGGTCACGCTACGAGAGTACTCTACATTGATTAATAGTACATTTTGTGGTCATCTTATTCCGTGCCAGCAGAAAGCCGATCCCTCCTGAGCCGTCCCCTTCAAGAGCACAACACTCGATCTGCCGAAATTGCTGCACTTAACGGAAAATGTTTGCCAGGCCAATTCAGCATAAGTCAGGAAAAAAAAGGAGAAATAAACTCGATTAATCACTGTCGCGGTCATGCGTCTTCATCACCCCCCCCTATAATAATATATTCAGATCCAGAACTTGGAAAGGCCATCTAAAGAGCTGCTCTGGGGAAAGCTATGAAAACATCCTTTAGTTTGTTTTTCGCATTCCTTCAACTTATCAAGTTTTTGTTTTTTTTTTAAACGCGGTAAAACGCCACAAACCGGTGTTTTTGGACTTTTTTAAAAAAAAAAAACTAAAAACCCCTAGAAATGCAAATGCGGAAAAACGCTGCTAAACGCTAATGCAAAAACGCTAAAAAAGCTGGAAAATGCACGTTTTTAGCGTGACTTTACACAGCTAATGTTACCAGCGATATCAAAACGCCCCGTGTGCAGGAGGAGTTAGTTTGTTTTTTGCATTCCTTCAGCTCATCAAGCCATTTTTTTTTTTTTTTTAAGGGAGCCAAATTAATCAGCTGAAGGTTAGTCCTCACACACACACGGGGTGTTTTTATAGCGGCTGTTTTTGGCTTTTGACATTTTTTTCTACAGCTAGTAAACTCCCCAACATGTTCTCCTGTGTGTCCATCCCAAGCATGTTCTCCTATGTGTCCATCCCCAGCATGTTCTACTATGTGTCCATCCCCAGCATGTTCTCCTATGTGTCCATCCCCAGCATGTTCTCCTATGTGTCCATCCTCGGCATGTTCTCCTATGTTTCCATCCCAAGCATGTTCTCCTATGTGTCCATCCCAAGCATGTTCTCCTATGTGTCCATCCCAAGCATGTTCTCCTATGTGTCCATCCCAAGCATGTTCTCCTATGTGTCCATCCCCAGCATGTTCTCCTATGTGTCCATCCCCGGCATGTTCTCCTGAGTGTCCATCCCCGGCATGTTATCCTATGTGTCCATCCCAAGCATGTTCTCCTGTGTGTCCATCCCCAGCATGTTCTCCTATGTGTCCATCCCCAGCATGTTCTTCTATGTGTCCATCCTCAGCATGTTCTTCTATGTGTCCATCCCCAGCATGTTCTCCTGAGTGTCCATCCCAAGCATGTTCTCCTATGTGTGCATCCCCCGCATGTTCTCCTATGTGTCCATTCCCAGCATGTTCTTCTATGTGTCCATCCCCAGCATGTTCTCCTATGTGTTCATCCCTGGCATGTTCTCCTATGTGTCCATCCCCAGCTCCCCAGCATGTTCTCCTACTGTATGTGTTCATCCCGGCATGTTCTCCTATGTGTCCATCCCCAGCATGTTCCCTGAGTGTCCATCCCCTCAGCAGGTTCTCCTGAGTGTCCATCTCCGGCATGTTCTCCTATGTGTCCATCCCCGGCATGTTCTCCTATGTGTCCATCCCCAGCATGTTAGCCTATGTGTCCATCCCCTGCATGTTCTCCTATGTGTCTATCCCCGGCATGTTCTCCTATGTGTCCATCCCCGGCATGTTCTCCTATGTGTCCATCCCCCGGGCATGTTCTCCCATGTGTCCATCCCCAGCATGTTCTCCTATGTGTCCATCCCCAGCATGTTAGCCTATGTGTCCATCCCCTGCATGTTCTCCTATGTTCTCCTGTCTATCCCCGGCATGTTCTCCTATGTGTCCATCCCCAGCATGTTAGCCTATGTGTCCATCCCCGGCATGTTCTCCTATGTGTCCATCCCCGGCATGTTCTCCTATGTGTCCATCCCCAGCATGTTCTAGCCTATGTGTCCATCCCCGGCATGTTCTCCTATGTGTCCATCCCCTGCATGTTCTCCTATGTGTCCATACACACAGAGACTAGAATCAACGTTTTTTGGCTGGAAAAAAAACCCAGGACTAGTGGATTTCTAGAGGAGTTTTTTCACTGAAAAATGTGACAAAACACAGTAAAACATGGTAAAACTTCCCAAACCAGTGTTTTTTGGCTTTTTTTAAAAAACAAAACGCAAATGCATAAAATCGGGGAAAAAACACCGTAAAACATGGTAAAACCACCTGCCTGGAGTTTGCATGTTCTCCCTGTGCCTGCGTGGGTTTCATCCAGGTACTCTGGTTTCCTCCCACACTCCAAAGACATGCTGGTAGGTGAATTGGTTCCTGTCTAAATTGTCCCTAGTATGTGAGTAAGAGACTTTAGATTGTACACCCCTTGAGGGTTAGGGACTGATGTGAATGTACAATATATACTGTATATACATCTCTCTCTCTCCCTCCCTCTCTCCCCCCCCGCCAGGCCCCCCTCTCTCTCTCCCTCTTCCCCCCATCTCTCTCTCCTTCCCCATCTCTTTTTCCTCTCCCTCCCTCTTCCCCCCTTTCTCTCTCCCCCCCCCCCCTCTCTCTCTCCCCTCTCTCCCACTCTCCCTTCCCTCCATCTCCTCCTTCTCTCCCTCTCTCTCTTCCTCCTCCCCTCTCTCTCTTCCCTCTCTCTCTCTTCTCTCCCCCCCCTCTCTCTCTTATCTCTCTCCCCCCTCTCTCTCTTCTCTCTCTCCCCCTCTCTCCCCCCCTCTCTCTCTACCCCCCCATCTCTCTCTCCCCCTCTCTCTCCCCTCTCTCCTCTCTCTTCTCTCTCTGCTCTCTCCACTCTCCCCCCTCTCTCTCTTCTCCCCCCCCCTCTCTTCTCCCCCCCTCTCCCTCTCTCTCTCTCTCTCTTCTCTCTCTCTCTCCCCTCCCCCCCCTCTTCTCTCTCTCTCTCTCCCCTCTCCCCCTCTCCCCCTCCCTCCCTCTCTTCTCCCCCCCCCTCTCTCTTCTCTCTCCCTCTCTCTCTCTCTCTCCCCTCTCTCTCTCTCTCTCTCCCTCCCTCCCTCCCTCCCTCTCTCTCTTCTCCCCCCTCTCTCTCTTCTCTCCCCCCTCTCTCTCTTCTCTCCCCCATCTCTCTCTCTCTCTCTCTCTCTCTACCCCCTCTCTCTCTCTCTCTCTTGCTCTCTCTACTCTCTCTCTCTCTCTCTCTCTCTCTCTCTCTCTCCCCCTCTCTCTTCTCTCTCTCCCCCCCCCTCTCCCCCCCCTCTCTTCCATATATGTTAAATTTTCAGCATTTTTAAAATACATTATGGTTGCTTTGCTTGATTCATGTTGATTAAATAATAGTAGATGTAAGTTTTTAACGTCCAGTTATTTGCAGGAAATGGTATGGTTGTGCCGGGGATGGGCTTTCAGAGGAATGGGAGGTAGACTGGGTACATCTAATCTACCCCAATTCTACCTAACTGTATCCAGGCCACTCGCCCCGACATGTTCCGCCTCACCCACATGGCTTAGTCATGGACCCCGTGGGTCTGGTTATTTGCAGGAAATGGCATGGTAGTGTCGGGGATGACCTTTCAGAGGAATGGGAGGTAGACTGGGTACATCTAATCTACCCCAATTCTACCTAACTGCATCCAGGCCACTCGCCCTGACATGTTCCGCCTCACCCACATGGCTTAGTCATGGACCCCGTGAGTCTGGTTATTTGCAGGAAATGGTATGGTAGTGTCAGGGATGGCCTTTCAGAAGAATGGGAGGTAGACTGTGAACATCTATTCTACCCCAATCAAGCTGTAGAATTTCCAGACGTTGTCTTGTTTACATTGATTCTCTTTCTTTCTAAAAGGCGCCATCTCCAATTACAGCATCGCCACCTCATTCTGTGCAATTACCAGCAAGCTTAGACTTTGTTGGCGAGCAGCTTCAGAAAGATGTACCGAGGTGACACTTGTAACGAGTGTGACTCACCGAGCTCCTTAATTATCAGGTTCAGGACGGAGAATCCGCTGATTGCTCAGAGCGCAGGTGAAACACAGCCATGTGATTGAGTCATTTGGAGAACTTGTGCGAAAATCAAGAGCTTTCGTTTGGAGGGCAGCAAAATTCTCCCCAGACAGGAAGAAATCAACATTTCATCCGCTGCTTCTATTGTGGCTGTCGGCCGAGGAAGAGGCCAGGAAACGTTTATAATGTTTTATTTTTTTTCCTGCAGAATTTAATGACACCTTTGAGACAATACATCCAATTTACTCTCCATTAACTCATCAAAATCTACATTGTTTAAAAAATAAAATTTGTAGAAAGTTTATAATCCCACAGACCACCACTATACTGTATGGGGGCCCTTCTCCTTCATCAAAGTAGGACAGCCATTGTCTTACTGACCACCAAAGTTAGTAGGCACTTCTACCACCAACCAATGTACGGCAGCCTTTTTCCCACTGATCACCAATGCTAAGGGGCCCTTATCTCACTGACCCCAACATATGGGAGCCCTTCTCCCACTGAGCAACAATGTATGAGAGCCAGTGTCTTACTGACCACCAATGTATTGGGGCTCTTATCCCACTGAGCACCAATATTAGAGAGCCCTTCTCTCACTGACCACCAATACATGGAGGCACTTCTCGCACTGAGCGCCAATGTATGATAGCCATTCTCTCACTAACCACCAAAGTGGGTGGGCACTTCTACTGACATCTACAGTATGGTAGCTTTTCTCCCACTGATCACCAATGTTAGAGGTCCCTCATCTCCCTGACCAGCAAAATATGGGGGGCCTTACCCCACTGAGCACCAGTGTAGGAGAGCCCTCATCTTACTGACCACCAATGTATTGGGGCTCTTATCCCACTGAGCACCAATATTAGAGAGCCCTTCTCTCACTGACCACCAATACATGGAGGCACTTCTCGCACTGAGCGCCAATGTATGATAGCCATTCTCTCACTAACCACCAAAGTGGGTGGGCACTTCTACTGACATCCAAAGCATGGTAGCTTTTCTCCCACTGATCACCAATGTTAGAGGTCCCTCATCTCCCTGACCAGCAAAATATGGGGGGCCTTACCCCACTGAGCACCAGTGTAGGAGAGCCCTCATCTTACTGACCACCAATGTACTGGGGCCCTTATCCCACTGAGATCCAATTTTAGAGGTCTCTTATTTCCCTGATAACCAATGTATGGACGGCCTTATCCTACTGACCACCAGTATATGGGGCCCTTATCTCAATGTCCTTTAATATTTGGGCATCCTTATCTCACTGATCACCAAACATATAGAAGCCTTGCTCCCACTGTGCACCAATGTGTGAGAGCCCTAGTCTTACTGACCACAAATGTGTTGGGGCCCTTATCCCACTGAGCACCAATGTTAGAGGTCTCTTTATCTCCCTGACCACCAATATATGGGGATCCTTATGTGACTGACCAGTATGTGAGGCCCTTATCTCAATGATCATTAATATTTGGGAGTCCTTATCTCTCTATGGTCACTATGTAAAGGGACACGTCTACCAATAACGAATGTATGGTAGCCATTTTCCCACCATTGTTAAAGGGCCCTTATCTAATTAACCACCAATATATAGGGACCCTTATCCCACTGACCAATAATATATGGAAGCCCTTCTCTAGCTGACCTCTAATGTATGGAGGCCTTTATCCCAATTTTTCTTTTTAAAAGTCTTGCAATGAATTAAAATAAAATTATATGCAGAATATACAAAAATAAATAATTATATACATATTTACACAAAAACTAAAATAAATATAGCAAAATCTGCTGTCAGACAAAAGCAAAACGTTCATAAATGAATATGTCATAATTGGGGGAAATAAATCTTACTAAGACTCACATCACTTCACCAGACAGCAAACCTGAGAGGTCAAGAAACAACCCCGCCCTCCGTTATGCATGCAGCGCTCCTTCAAAAAGAAGGTCTTAACCAACAAAAATTAAGGGAGTGAAAAGAACAGCATAAAAAAAGACCCCCTCACCCAGAGATGGACAGTTCACCAAAGGCAGGTCTGATATTCCTCCACGCCCTTATTCAGACCACTCGAGGCTCTCTGCCCTTCTCAAGACCCCGAATCTTCCCAACCTCACCCAGTACATCGTGCACCACTACCTCAACAGGCAGGACTTTCTTCCACAGGGTAATCTGACACCGTGCATTCCATGTGAAGTAAGAAAAAAAACTATACTAACTAAAAAAAGTGTATCCAAATCAAAGTCCCAGCGAGCTGGGAATGTCCCGTACACCCACTCTGCATGACTCATGCGATAGAGAAAGGGGATGCTCAGAACCCTCCCCACCCTTTTATACATCTCTATGTTAAAGGGACACTGGAGCAGAAAGTGGTCCATAGACTCCACTTTACCAACATACTCTACTCTAGGACAATCCCGATCATCCACAGGGCAGTGCTTCAGGTTCCCTCTCACATAGAGCCTTCCATGGAAATCGAGCCAGGCTTGATCCCTAAACCTCAAAGGGATTCTCTCCAAGTTAATTAAATGCAATCCCTCCCTAATTACGGAGCCTGGGCAATCCTTTAAGGCCAGTGACACACTGAAAGCAGAAGCCAAAATCCTCTCCCCCAGAAGCTTCCTGGGAAGGGACCTGATATCCTC